TTAGATTTTTTCTCAGGCAGAGAGAGCTGAGTTTAAATATTCTGGATGGAAAATCAAGGCATGTAATTCAACGTCTACTTGCCAGACCTGATTCCTCAATTTTATCATGTGAAAAGTGCATCAATAAGTTGGGCTCCTGGATGAGGACCCCAGACTCACTCACTGTGCTTCAGGCACATTGACTTGGCGACATAAGCACCCCATGGGATGCTTTAAGAATAAGAGGAGATTAATTTTAATTCTTAAGTTATTTGCTGCTGTTCATCATTTCTTGATGTTCCCATTTCCAAGTTGGAATAATCCCCACTTTGTGAGACACATTTTCGCGTTTGCTTGCTTCTGCCTACTGAAGTCAAAAGCAGCTCCACATTTCTGCTGGGTGTGGGCAGATGTTGGTTAGAACCCTGGCTTGGCTCTTGCTAATGTGTATCTTTGTGCAAATTATATTTCTCTCAATGATTCTTAACATCTCTGAGGCAGGTGTTATAGCTGTGTTTTCCAAGTGAGAAAACCAAGGCTTAGAAATGTGGATGTATGGAGGGCCGCTGGCATAGTAGCAGAAGCTCATAAATGGCAGACATTGTTATTGCCCACCGTCTGGAATCCACCCACTTCATGCTAGTCCACAGACACTATCACTTGACTCCACTCTCTCTCTGGCCGTGTCTGCTCATGTGCAAGGACCCGTGTGGTCACGTGCGCATTTCCCACTCCTCTTCTAGACCAGGCTCTGATGTGGTGGAGGAAACCAGTCCTGGAGAATGATTCAAGGGAGCAGTTGTCAGTGGCCCAGAGAGACTTCCTATGACCTCCAAGCTGGATGGTTCACCCTGTATAGAAAACATATTTGATTAATCAAGCTTGAAAAGTTACAAATAAAAAGACAGGAAAGCCATTGATGCCTAATTGATTTTGTGTCACTTGTATACAGGTATGTTTGACTTTGACATAGTCGATTGTGCTTTAGAAAGTTTTTTCTCCATGCCATGAACAGTTTTATTCCAAAAGATTCCAAGACTTTGGGTTTCGCTATTTTTCTTTCATTTTTGAATCCCATCTGCTTTTTTATTGTGTTGTAATTTACATGTAATAAAACCATCGTAACTCAGTAAAGGGGGGAAAAATAACCAAACAGCAGGTCTGTCTGGACACATGCATATGTTGATTAGCCCTCACCCTGTGGGATTCATCCTCACCATCCTCAGAGGGGTGCTTCCTGCCACTTTCCAGGAAACCTACCTCACAAGCAGTAACTTCTGATTTTATCACCCAGTTTTGCTTGCTCTAGAATTTCATATAAATTAATTCATATAATTTGAACTCCTTCACTGAACAGCATTGATGAGTTCCATCATGTTTTTGCATATTTCACTAGTTCCTTCCATGGATGCACCATTATTTATTTATTCTCTTACTAATGAGTATATGTGCTGATCCTAGTTTTTTACTCTAAGGAATCAAAATGAACATTTGTGTATAAGTTTTGCTTGTGAACATGTGCTTTCATTTCTCATTAATATCTAGGAGTGGAAATCGGGGATCCTGAGGTAGATGCAGGTAGAGCATTTTAAGGAAATTATCATTTTCCAAATGTCTGTACCATTTTAAACTGCTCATTAATAGTTAGCAAATAATCTGAAAACAAGAAGGTCCAGACAAAACACGTTTCCTTTCTGAGTCTCTCAGGATCTGGGATCCAGGCACAGCTTGGCTCTGTCTTCCGCTTCAGGCTCTCCCCCTTGGTGGAAATGAAGTGGGCAGCTGGGACTGTGGTCTCATCAGAGGGCTGTGCTGGGAAATACGGCTGTGGACAGGATTCAGTTCCTCCAAGACTTTGCATGGAGCCTCAGTTCTGTGATGCTTCCTACTTTCCCTTTCTACATGGGTAGGCTTCATCAGGCAAGTACTCAAGAGGAGCCAGAGACAGTGCAGGCAAGATGGAGGTCACAGTCTGACAGCTGCATCATGGTGCGACAGCCTTCCCCGTACTACATTCCTTAATTTAGGAGCAAGTCATTAAGTCCATCCACACCCACAGGGTATGAGCAGTTGGAGGAAGGATCACTGAGAGCCCTGGGAGAAGCAATCTGTCAGTCTGCCCTCCAGCCCCCACGGATCTGTGTCCCTTCCCATGGGAAGTCACCCCACTCATCAGCAGCTCAGAGTCAGATTCCATACCTGGATCAGATCCAGGTGTGAATGAGGTTCCTGGGTGGTGCCCCTGGGGCACAGCCGCTCTCCATCGTTAGACCTGTGAAGGTAAGGAGGCAAGGTGGCCAGCTGGGGTGTGGCTCAGAGGTGGAGCACTGGGCTAGCACAGGTGAACTCTGGTTTCCATCCCTAGTACTGATAGGGGTGGGGTAAGGTGGCTCCCCACCCATTCATCCAGGACAGCAGTGGGACGGGCATGGGCACTAGTGGCAGGGATGCCTGTTCAGGGGGAGGAAGGTGGGAAATCTGAACCAGCCTGCACAGGGGGAGAGTCCTGGCCTGAGCCGTGCTCCTCAGGTTCTTCACAGTAGAGTTAATACTGACTTTACTGATTTTCAGGCTGTCTTCTGTGGGCACTGGGAAGCTTGTGTGCAGCCCAGGCTTCAAGAGAAGGGAGTGATATACGCCTCTAGAGGGCCGGTATGAGTCTTTGGTGCTCCTCTCCATGGGAGGCTGTGTCTTCTCACCCATTTATTCAGTAATTTAATAATATGGCCATGGACTTGTGGATATTTATGTTTCACATTGTGATATATAAAAGCGTGAATGTTTTGTTTGGGGCTAAAAGTGATTCTGGCATTGGTCATCGGTGACCTTCAGTAGCTCCTGGGCACCTTCGTCCTACTTCCATCATCATGTGTGTGCACGTGTGTGTGGTGGATCCTTCCTGACTCTGTGGCAGTATGAAGTGTTCAGACTTATCTTTACATTTTCTGCCACTAGAATCCTCCACTTCTCCAAGGACCTAGGAAGCAGAGAAAGAGCAAGATATAATCCCCAAGGGCACACCCCTACCTCCTCCAGCCACACCCCACTTACAGTTCTACCCATTGTCCCATTCAAATTAGGAATTCATGAGGTGGATTAATCTACTGCATAGGTGCAGCTCTCGACCTCTGCTCATTTCACCCCTGACCGTCCCCGCGTTGTCTCCCACATGAGCTTGTTGGGGGACACCTCGGATCCCAACCCTAACACACTGTAGCACCCTGTTATGGTGTGGCAGCCCTGAGGTGTGGTGGTGAGGTGTGGAGGGAGGAAGCAGTCTAGAACATCATAATCGCATCTCAGTCTTTCAGAGAGCTGCTGTCCCTCGGATGTCATCTTCACAAGTATCTCACCCCCCTTAGGAGGGATAGAAAGGGCAGTGTAGTCAGAGTGTGAAAAGTGGCAGGTGCTCCTCTGAGAGCAGGTCTTTGGAGGAAGCGGGGTCAGGTCGCAGTGATTACTCTTCCTCACCTTCTGCAGAGGCCATGGTGGTGTCTTTCTTGCTCCTTGCTGTGAGAACTTGGCGGGGTCTCTGGAGGTGCAATCCACAGTGTGGGGGCCCTAAGAATGTGACCCAGGAGGCCCCACTCTCGCACCCCTCCACTCAGTCTCAGGCAGGTCATCCCATTGCCTCTTGAAGTGATTCCAAGGCTTTGTCCCCCAGTGAGCAGAGCACAACTGTGACTTCCTGAGTTCTCCTGTTTTTGCCTGTTCCTGAGTGACAGCCTGTCTGGAAACTTAATTCTTGACTGTCCAGCAAATGCTGTTGACTTCCAGCTTACCCAGGCTTTTCCTGAAGGTGTGGAGGTGTAACTTCCAAGCCATC